CAAAGAACAGTTTTCCTGTGCTGGAAGAACCCATGTGTTCAGGAATGTATTTAAATGGTTGATAGCATTAACAGCATCACCCTGCACAGATGAAGCTTTGGTAGTCCTACAGACTTGGAAAATGATACATTGCTTTACAGGCATATAAACATTGTTGGTGGCCATTTCTTTGAACAAACTTTCTCCAGAAGCCMTTCCAAGACTTGTCCGCTTTGGCTGATCACTCACCAAGAGATTTCTGAAGGATGGCRAACTGCTCCTCTTCCTTCGCACGCTCCTGTTCCTCCACGTTTTCCTTTGGAGGAAGGATACCTTTCTTGCGCAGAATGTCATTCCACTCGGTGTCTTTATTTGGATCCTAGAACAGAACAACGAATGGRTAACATCTCTTCAAGGTAAACTTTACCACTTTCAGAACTCAACACAACTGCTAAGCTGGTYACTGGTGCCAGAAAGTCACAGTGCAAATCCTCCTGATGATGAGGCTTCTTTCCAGTCCCAGACCTGCAGCACCCACTCACAGAACATACAGGCAGTCTTGGTTGGGTACCAAAGCTTGAAGCATTGTAACCACTACTGCATCTCTCACAAAGTGAAATAAAAGGAGAGGGTATCAGCACGGTAACAGGGGAGCATGCTGGCCAGAGAGGTCCCTTACAGGCCCTCAGTAGGRCAAGCCACCAAATGCCACCAATGGGCATTGCACCAGGAAGCACTGGTGACAAAGCACCAGCCTTGCAGACCGAACTCTCAGTATGTGGGAAGTCTCCTTGGTAGGTTCAAGTCAGAGTGACTATGTAAATAGAGAAAAGCAAGCAGACTCTGCCAGCCAAGTTAAGGACTGGCTACAGAATCAGATCTAAATCTACAGCTACACTATTCCTGAGACTTTACTGTAAAATAGTTGCAATAATCCTGCAAAACAAGGTCAACAGACCCCTGTCTATTGCTGAGAAGCTCAGTATAAGACTTCCCTATTTAGCAGACAATGCAATTTTTTTAAAATACATTAAATCTCAGTGATAAGCACCCACAGGATGATTGTGCTTCCTTGGTCTCTTGGCCTAGGTCCACTTTGAAAACTAAGCACGCCTACTGCTTTGCTACWGCTTGTATCAGTAAGCTTACACTAGGTCTGCTCACAGCCATATAGCCACATCTCTTCTCAGACTTAAACCCCAGTACTTATGGACTATCGGGACAGAAAGGGACGGATAGGGGGCAGAGGGGGAGAAGAAGAAAATAAAGAAAAAGAACGATGTAGCTCAGCCAACAGAACAACAGATTTTTAATTTTTTTTTCTGTCTCTGACCGTGGTCATCTTTCCCACGACGCCGCATGTTACTATCGTTTACTAACACGCTGATGCACTGCCTGAAACGCCCACCCGCTCACTACAGAAGTGAAGTACCGTATTTGCAAAAAAAAAAAAAAAAGCAACAAGCCGCCACAAACCCAACCATGGAGCTTCCAAACACCACCGCCGCGTAACAGACACCCCCGCCCCGAGACAGAGGCACAAACCGGGCCGCTCCCCCGCGGCTGCCCCGGGCACTCGGGCGGGGAGGGCGGCCCGCGGCTGTCGGCGGAGCCCCAGCGCGGTACGCGGCCCCAGCCCTCGGCCCGGCCGGGCTCACCCACACGGCGGATGCGGGGACACGGGGGCACCGCGGCTGCTCACCTGCATCCTGCCGGCGGGGCCGGGGCCGTGCCCGGGCAGCGGCGGCAGCGCTGGGTAAGGCCGGGCAGGGCCGGTCCCGGTCCCGGCGTGCGCGGCGCGGCCGGAGGAGGCGGCGCTCCCCAGCGGGGCGGGCACAGCCGCTTCCCGCACCGCCTTATAAGGCCGGGCCCGGCGGCGTGAGGGCCTGCGTGTCACTGCGCTTAGAAAGGATCCCGGAATGGGATGGGTTGAAAGGTAACCGTAAGATCACAAAGGTTTAGGGTTGAAATCATGACATCATTACGGCAGAGGCACCTTCCACTAAACCAGACTGCTCCCCTTGCAACCTGACCTAGAATTACTGTGCTTGAGCAAAAAGGTTGGATAGATGATCTACTGTGGTCCCTTTCAATCTTACCCATTCTGTGATTCCCTGTAACACTTACCACTTCTCTAAGCCTTTTTTATCTGCTTGCGTTTCATATCCTGCTTTATTTCCCCACTGGTTTATCTTCTTTTCCATTTCTGTGATAAAATCAGCAAGTAAGCCTATATTATCAATTATTAGGTGTAATTACCTGAACTTGTCATATTAGGATTGGCTCATAGCCAACCAACATTGCCAGAAATTAGTCTCTATATAGGTACTTTTATTTTAGTTTTGAGTGCATATTAAAGTATGACTCAAACACTGAGAAGTGTGGTGATACGAATCTGTTGGGGTTCTACACCCCATTCCATACAAATGGGCGCTTGGGCCTGCCCTTCCAAAGAACTGAGCAGATCTTTGCAGCTTTCTTCTCAAAGACACACAGCAGAGAAGAGGGAAGAGTCATGCTCCTGCCTCCCTTCCCCTCCTTTTATGCTCCAGTCCAATGGAGAGCATGCTCACCCAGAAAAGGGGAGCCCAGAGCTCAGTCCCCAGAAAAGARCCCTGCACAATCTGCCAGCAGGCCTGAAGAGTGTGTTTGGCATGTGGAGAAAGGACTGTCTCAGCTCTGACAAGGGCCTGAAATGAAAATTCAGAAGCCCCACTGCAACACATTTTAAGATCATKGCCGTCCCATTATCAGCCAGTTGCTCTGAGGTGGGCTGGCCAGTTTCCCTGTGCTAGGTCTGGGTTACTGAAGGGAAGGCACAGCCACCTTTTCTGCCTTGAATTGGAAGGAAGGAACAACTGTGCTTTGCGGGGATATCAAGCCTTAMGGTGAGCATTTGGACGTGYAGAGGGTGCCCCATACTGGTTGTTYARTGCCCTGAGGTGCTKGGAAACTCAGCCTCACTCAGCTTGGACTAAATGCTCTTCCTTGTGGAAAAAGTGGGTGAGTGCCACAAACACAGATGCTGTGCTCTGACCCACAGTTKGTATCTGGCAGGCAGACCCACAGGCTGAGCTGTTCACGATGGTTTTGATGTCGGAATGTTTTGCCAAAGCCTGGGCATCTGCGAGTACCCTCTGGTTCAAATAGTCATCTTTGGTGGCTGAAATGCTCTTCACACCCACGGCTTTTGTATGTTGCTGCTTGGAACCTACTTTGAATGCCAGAAAACAAACACAGAAAGAGCCTGAGCAGTAAGTGAGCACTCATTTTTTTTAAAAAAGTGCTTAAAAATATTCATTTGCCAGAGGTGAGATTTTTGCCCAGATGGACTGAGAGGAGCTAGTCAAGCTCCCTCAGCACCAGAACCACAGTAAACCCTAAACCCCATCTGGGACRGGGAGTTACCAGAAGAGGGGGCAGAAGTCTAAATCTTAGGAGCAGCCCCATCACATCACTTGGTGGGGCTCAGACAGCGAGAACCATGCATTACTCTGTCCAGGACACATGTAAAGCAAAATATGGCTTCCCCCTCCCACCCAACTAAAATATTTGTAAAGCCCATTTTCCATATATAGTTTTTTTATCAAGCTTCAGCAGGAAGGACTGTTTTTACACATAGAGTACAGACAGAAATAGTCCAGCCAGAGTGGGTGACAACTGGCAATGAGACTGAAATACAGCTACAGCTCAGCCCTTGGAGACAACCTGGCTTCTTCATCCTCATCCCAGCCAATTTGCTTCTGACCGGCATTTCGTCATTTTGCCCGAAATAAGGGATTAGGTGAAGGAAGATGAAGCACATGTGCAAATGATTCATTAACTACCCCTGATGAGGAGGGAAAGTTGCTAATAAAAGGGTTCTGGGGGAAGAGGTGGGGGTGATGGTGTTGTGGGGCTTGTGAGTGGCTGAGGATAGGGTGTAGCAAGGCACAGATGAAGACAAAAGAAGAAATTTTGAAGGTAATGTGATGCATTTTTTATGAATAATGTATTATGGAAGATTTGGGGTTATTGAGGGCTTGATGTTATTTTGTAAGTTAGCTGTTTTTATTGCACAGTATGCCTGTACTGTGAGTAATTTAGGAAAATTATTGTCTGGTAATAAGCATAAGGAATTATGGCTAGAGTTGCTTGGATTTTATTAGGGGCTGGGGGGCTTTTTTTTTTCTTTTTTTAAACCTTCTTCTGATTTTTCATAAATATGAAACTTTGCTATAAAAACCCCYAGATACTAGTGTAGTGATGAGGGTTCTTGTATATTGCAAGCAGCTGTGCTGGAAGTTAGCTGTCCTATTTACTCATAAGCTAGAAATGTTATTTAAATGAGAAATTTTTGCTACTCCAGTTATAAGAGTATTCTGGCTAGGCTGAATTCCCTTCATCTTGAGGAAGTAGATGATAATTTCTGTTCTTCAGTGTGCATTGTGCTGTCCAAATCAATTCATCGTTTCCCTGGTGTAGACCTCCAGCAGTACTCTCTTCGCAGTCACAGAATACCACTTAGGGAATTAATTTAAAACCCTGTATGAAAATATYCTGGAGTATTTTGGGTACAACAAGCTGTAGGCGACAAGAATTTTTTCATTTTTAGATTTAAAATGGAAGGAATTTGTAACTTGATAGTAGAAGAAGTTGTAATACAGATTTCTCTTGGAGGAAGAGACAGGCCTGGCCTCAAGTTAGCTTTGAGGTCACAGTTGTGGTGCTTTTGAAAAATCCTACTGAAGAAGTCCCACTGTGCATCAGTGCCACGTAGCAGGGTAAAGCCTCTCTTCTTCTGAGCCTTTTGCGTCTAACTTCAATAATCCTCAACAGGTTTTGCCTTCTCCTAAAAAGCAGGCTGTAAAGGRGCAATAACAGTTATAATTGTAGCTCTGTGCATGATGAACTGTGTTGTGAGGTGAGCTCATTCCTCAAGAAAAGGATGAGCTTTCACCTTGATGTGGAAGAGCAGAAAGGGTAACTGACCTTGCTGTTGGTTCCTCTTGCTATCCGTTAGCTGTAGCCTAAGTATCCAAGAATTTTTGAAGACCTACAGCCCTCGGTGTCTCCTCACCTGTCAGAATGTCTGGACATGGAAAGAAACAAGCAGTGTCTGGCAAACRTGAAAATGCATCGAGGAGAAGCAAATCAGCCAAGGCAGGCTTGCAGTTTTCGGTGGGCCGTGTCCATAGACTCCTGCGGAGAGGGCAGTACGCTCATAGGATTGGTTCTGCCGCTGCCATCTTCCTGGCTGCAGTAATGGAATACATGGTAGCCGAGGTTCTGGAGCTGGCAGGGAATGCTGCTCATGAAAACAAGAAAATGAGGATCATGCCCAGGCATATTCAGCTGGCTGTGAGAAGTGATGATGAGCTGAACAAGTTCTTTGCCTGTGTGACCATTCCTCAAGGTGGGGTTATGCCAAACATCCTCTCTCAGCTCCTTCCGAAGAAAACTTGCTGAAATGTTGCATCTTCTCAGGAACAAGGTGGTAGCCAGTGGAACTTGCTTTTCCTGGTCTGGTCTGTGCACTTATGGATGATGGGACTCAGTACCACTAATTTGTATGTGTTTGCTTCTTTGTCAAGTATTTAMCCACTAATTTTAAGGCATTTTTTGAGCTTGTAATGAAGTTTCTAGAATGCTACACTGGTCTCTTTTTCTCTTTTTTTCATGGATGGAAGAACAGAGAAAATATTTTTAAAAAACAGCCTAGCATAGCACCTGAATAACTTTTTAAAACAAGTCCAGTACATGCTTACTTTTGAAAATATGTTACAGATTACTTTTGTGAAGTAGGGAGAGGAGTCAAGACATACAGTGCTATTCCTGTGAATTTTTCTTCTATCTAGTACAGATTTGTGGTGCAGTTAGTTCATTGCCTCAGAGGTTGTTTAATTCTGCTTTAGAAGTTAAAAGGTTTTTATAGCCTTATTTCTCCTAAAACAATAGTGTATCTGCTTCTCTTCATCATGCTCCATCATGACACTAAGTTTCTGTCATGGTAAAGCATGCAGAAACTGGTGAAGCTATGTCTTCTCTCTTAACACAGATGACAAATTGAGTGTTTGTCCATTGTATGAACACATTATAAAGAACTTGAGAAGGGGTCTACCCTCCTTTTCCCTCCATAGTCCATTGGTTTTCTTCTGTGGATCAATAATTTATTTGAATAGTAATTTTTGCATCTTTTCAAAAAAGTAAAATTACTCTTCCTTATTCAGGGGTMTATAACTTACTTTCACTGTATTAACAAGCTCCAGTTCCTCTCAAAGGAAGCTTGCTCTGGTTTCTGCTTTATAGCATGTTCCTCCTCAGAGCAWATTCATTGCCTTCCTCCTGTGTACCAGGACACTCTGTGCTAGGGCAACAGGACAAGGAAAGGGTCAAGTACAAGTTGTTTTGTTGAGAGAAATAGTTCTGAAGGAGTGAGAAACTGTGAAATGCAAGAATGGAGATGAAAATGCTGTAAAAATAGAATGAGAGATACAAACCATGGAGGAAAGAGCAGCATAAATATGAGCAGGAAGTGAATGTAAAATTTATTTTCTGAGGTAGCATTTCACGATAGAATAAAGCAAAGAATCATTCCCTTTGTGGCAGGAATAACTGGGTGATTCTCTTTTCTTATGCTATAAAGTTTGTCAAGCAAGAGGATGTCAGGCTACTTTTTGGCCATTCAAGCTCTACATTTATACACAACAGCACTACTGATATTTTCTGGACATATTCTTTCTTCCACAACACTTGTTAAAAGTGAATGCAGCTCATTAAGGTCTGAACCAGCCCTGGCAGGGCCACCAACAGATCAAATGTTCTGCTGCTGAAGAGGAAATAAACAAAGTTATGGCACGTCATTGCTGCCATACAGCACATCAGCAGTGAAATTATAGATCCTCAGAAAAAAACTGGGGGGTAGAACAATGAGAAAAGTTGTTTTGCTATTTTTGGGGTTTTTTTGTTAGAGGTGTTGCCAATCTGAGAGGGGCAAAAAGCAGAACTCAGTTTTGACACCTGGTTTTGCAAAACATGCACTGAGGAGTGCTTAAATATTCTGGAGTAGCACTAATTACACTGACAAATAATGACACATTCATATAATCAGAAAACAAGTTTTATTCAARGATAAGTTCTCTTGTTTGATTATAAGGTAAACTCTCAGCAAATATGACTGGTCTATTATGGTCTTTAACATCATTATTTGTTCTAAACATAAGGCTTGAGAACAAATTCAGACAAACATCCAGGTCRTCAATGTTTTGCTTTCTTGGGAAGYTGGACTTGTATCCRAGTTGATTGMTAGGCACTCTGGATGATTTTGAACAGAAGTGCACAGGGTATCATAGCATAGGTGCTAAGTAACCATGCCCTTTTTCACAAAGGGGGTAGATAGGTGTCATTGTAATGCAGATGTTTAGCTTCATACCCATAGGTAAGCCCCTGTTCTATAAAGTGCTTGATAACTATGGAAATCATATCTCTAGATGATGCTAATGAAATTGTGATTAAAATCTTCCTTTTGTGTACTACAGTATAGGAAATCTTCCTCAAACTACAACTCTGATAGAAATAATTTTGCTTGTTCCGTTGATCACTAAAGTGCTCATTTACTTTGGTAAAACAAGACATTAATTTCATGACTAGTTCTCTCATGCCTCATGCTATAKTTTTCTAGTTAGCTCAGTCTTCTGTAGCTGAGACTGGTATGTGACTAAGTTGCAAATCAAAGCAAAAAAAGAAAACCATTCTAACCACAGCTCCTCTAGCATCTGTCTTGTTACTGATGCTGAAAAACACATTTATCTTGATGTAGCTTTACTTTCCTAACTCAGYTGTGGCGTGGTGCCAGTGTCTGTCAAGGAAAATAGATGTTTTCAATAACATCCATTGGAAAATGTGTGTACATGGTGCTCCACAGTTCARTGAAATGGTGGGCAGATGGAAGCATGGAGGTGAAATGATGCCTGRAAAAACTCTTCTACTTTTACCCATCTTGAGGACTGGATACTGTTGATGGATGTCTCAGTTGTGCAGGGTAATTGCAGTTCACTCTGCACTGACATTTGTGTGTTTGTAAGCTTGTTATCTTCTGTCACCTTCACTTTCTCTGAAAGGAGAGGAAAATTCCCAAGTTATGACCTCGGAGAGTCTTGTCTTGGTGAGCACAAGGGATGCCCAAGGTCTGAACTCCTTTGCTACCCGAGCTGGTCAAGCCCAGTGCACGGTGGAGAGGGGTAGGTAGGGCCTGGAGCAGCACCTCTGCTTTGGACATCCCAAATTTGATTCTGGCATTGCCCTCTGCTGACCGGCCCCAATATTGCAATTCCTCAACACCGTTGATCTCTTGGTAGTGCTGCTCTAATGAAAGTCAAAGGGTGTGAATTTGGGTTATAATCTGAGATGATACATGATCTGTGGAATCATGCAGACTATACAGAGCTATGAAAATGAAGGGAAAGATGTCGTATAAGGCTACTGAATTATAACCAAAGGCTGGTTTTGGTGTTTTTTTTCATGTAGCAGAATCTCTGATGTAGTCCCTGGAGAGGCCAAGCTACCCAGCAGGATAGGTGGTTGTGACACATCAGTTCATGGCAGGGTCATGAGAGGAAATATCACCTTGGTGCTATGTTGCATGAGGCTCCTGAATTTTGCTTCTTTTCTGGATCACACTRTTACCTGTGGGTGCGCTGCAGTCAGTTCATGCATATTCTGCATTTTTGTATTTTCTGTTGGAAGTTCTAGTCCATGTTTAGGTGTTTTTCTGCTCGGTGTTTAGATAGCTGTACTCCAAAAGCCTGTATTTGTATACACATTTTCTGGTGCAGTAATCCAGCAGGTACTCTCTGAACTGCTATGTAGTAACCCCTGGGTACAGAAATTTAGTACTAAAGACATATAAAATACTTTTCTTTCAAGTTTGCCTTATGTTGTCATTCAGACTTCCTCTGTTGGTCTCCCAGCAGGTTGAAGGCTGATAGATAGATGGTGTTTGGTGTACAAGGTTCTTTGCACCAGAGAAATGTCAAAATTTTAGGCGGTGAATGATAACCTGCTATAAGATCAGTCACATTTTTGTTTTTGTACACTGGAAAAAGTAGATCCAGAAATGATTGAAGAAGGAGACTTAGTAGCTCATTCTAGTTGTTTAGTGCAGMAATCTATCAGAGTGTTAGATATATAGATTAAGACAGTTTTTGCAGTCCAGCCTAGTCAAAGATATGTTTCTACCCTGATTAATAAGGTAGAGTGGCAATTGCAATTTGTGAGCTGTCTGGATCAGGTAAGTAAGTCTTAAGCGTGATCTCCACATAAGCAACCAACCAATARATATCCTGGGATCACTGCTTGACTCTAAGATCCCAGCAAATAAGTAAATACAGGCATGGATGAATGCTGCCAGGAATGGTGAGCTTAAAATGAAGCATTTTCATTCCTCTCCTCACACTTTCCTTCTTGCAAATCAACCCYGGTTCAGAGTTCCAGTTTTCCCCTGACCTCCTCTTTTCCTCTTTGCTGTTGGTTCCCCTCTTTCTTCTACTRTGTTGCTCTGTACATGAAGCCTTAACTATGATCAGCAATGCAACACCTTGCCTGTGACAATCTCTACAGTTTCTTATTCATTCCACGTTCTATTTTTGTGCTGTCTTCAACACCATGATATTTGACTGTCTGCAGTTACCCATCCCTTTTGTTGCAATTGATTATTTTTCAATATGTGTAATAACTTCCTTTCATCCTCAGTGAGCTGTACTTATTTTTTTCCATACGTATCTTTTCCAAGATCATTCTGAATGCTCTGACCTGCACCATTGCCATCCCTCCCAGCTTGCTGTCACCYAAAGATTTAGTAAGTGAGCTCTTCCCTGTGGGAGCTGAGAAAGGAGTGAGGCTGTTCAAGGCACAAGATCACGRAGGGAGCAGAGAGAATAAAGTAGAACCCCAAGAAGGTTTTCCTCTTGTGCTTCGTGCTCTGTCTCTTGGGTGAGCAGCGTGTCGTGAGGCTGGGCAGCCCTCACTCCCCCCAAGCCAAGTGCATTTCCAGGTCCCTCGCTGTGCACTCTGCCAACAATGCCTCACTGAGACCAGCTCCAGTCTTTTTAACGTCCTGGGCCAGCCTGAAGTGATTTTCAAGTCAGGTTAGGCAGCACAAAGRTGTGCACTCCTGAATATTCCTGCCYTCACAAGAGTCCACCAAGCTCTTCTCAGCCACATACTCTAAGCTGTGGCAGCTGGTTTCAGGAGGTGATTAAGTGCTACAAAAAATATTCCTCCTTGCAGCTGAAACATGTTTTCTCTCAGTATAATTGAGTGTCCTTCCTTGTTGCTTTTCRTTTCATATGTATGGATAAGCACCCAATTTATTCTTCTAAACGTACTCATTACTTTGTATACTACGTAGTGAAACTCTTGTTTGTCTCTTCTCTGATGGACAGTGGGAACTGAGCTTTCATCTTCTTTTCTTGCAGAAATCTTTCTGTATTTCTAATTGTTGTTGTCACCTGTGTCTGCACTCCTGACATTCTGCTGTGGGTTTTGCAATGGGATGYTCAGAAAGAGTTTCAGGCCAGAGATGACCTTTGCATTTCTATATTATTAATTCTTCCTGTTTCACAGGTGGCATTTGCATTGCTCCAGGGAGCACCAATTTCCACTGAGCATGAACAAGAGCTCTTCTGTRCTTTTTACAGAGGAGCTGCACTTACTACAGATATGTAGTATGTTCCTGTGACTGAGGAACTTAGGCTAGGTTCTCACCTTCAAATTACCACCTGCTTATCAATCTTATTTAAGTTTCAGGGCCCAAATAGACGTATTTCTTGAAGTTTGTTGTAGGTGAAGGAAGCCACTGCTGCCTGTGAGAGCACAGCATGAGTTGCCTGTGCTGCAGTACTGCTGTAGTTTAACTCCAGCCAGCTTGCTTACTTTCCCCAGCAGGATGGGGAGGGAATTGAAAGGGTAAAAGTGAGCAAARCTGTTGGCTGACATAAAGACAGCTTAATAGGTAAAGCAAAGCAGAACAYGGAATTCATTCACTGCTTCACATCAGCAGGTAGATGTTCAGCTATCTCCAGGAAAGCCAGGCTCCATCACACCTAGCTGACTTGGGAAGACAAACACCATCACTCCAAATGTGTRTATGTGTCCCTTTCTCCTGCCCAACTTCTATTGCAGAGCACGACACTACACAGTGTGGGACATCCCTTTGGCAGTTGGGTCAGCTGTTCCAGCTGTGCCCCCTCCCAACTCCTTGTGTACCSCAGCCTCAGCACTGTGGGGGTGGAAAACAGATCTTGAGATTTCTGGACAGSGTTTGCACAATGGCTAAAACRTCCCTGTGCTATCAATGCTGTTTTGGTCACAGATCCAAAACAAGGCACCATAAAAGCTGCTATGAAGATAATTAACTCTATCCCAGCCAATACCAATATAAATACTTATGCAGAACTGAGCAAAATTTGATACTCTTCAGCTTTTGCCTCTGATATGAAACAAGCCAGAAATGCTATTGCAGTGTTTTGTATCATTATCTCATATTTATTTGCATTGCTAGAGTGCATCCCCACCACTTGCATTTGGCTTAGTTGTTCCTTCCAGAGGGACATCCTAACTGGTTCCAGATACCAGAGAAGCCAGCATCCTCTGGAGTCTTTCCAAGGGCTAATAGTTTCCTACAAGGTTTGACAATACACTGAACAGCAGCAACAGGGTGCTTTGATGGCACAAATAGGCCTCAATTCTCTGAACATCCTGCCTGGGAAATTCCCCCCCCCACCAGCACCCTCTGCCATGGAGGAGGCACAGGAGCTATAATTTAGCTATGTCTTGACCATGTTAGAGGCTGAAATAAATAGTATGGAGTTGTATTTATGTCCCAGAGTAACTGAGACTGGCAGAGACCTCAGGAGGTCCAAGCAGCAATTCAGTCATCTACTCTGGTCTTGAAAATCTCTAAGGACTGTCCTCTCCAGACAATTGACTGTACTGCCCGGATATTTCAGCCTCTCTTGCTTCAACTTGTGCCTGTTGCTTCTTGTCCTCCTGCCCCATGCTGTGAGGAGCCCAGCTGTCTCCTTGATGGCCCTCAAAGGCACTGGAGGGGCTATCAGGGTCCCCTGAAGGCATCCCTCCTCCAGGCTAAACCAGCCCAGTTGCCCTTGTACCTCTTCAGGGGCAAGTGATACAGYTCTCACCACCTCAGAGGCCCTCTCTCCAGTTTGTCCATGGCCCTTCTGTAGTGTGAGAMTCCAAACTGAACATTCTGCCCTAGATTCAGTCACCAATTGCCAAATAACTCATCACTTCTAACCACCCCAACTTCTGTTAACACAGCCCAAATTGGGAACTTATGCAGATAAAATACAAAACCACAAAGCACAGGTATCTTGGGGTTTGTTTTTGAAGACAAGGGTGTCTCCAAATCTGGTTCACATGTGGTTGTGCCACAGTAACTGAAACAGTGTATGCCATAGTAGCCAAAGAGAAGGATGGATAGCAAAGGSCTTGAGGAAACCAATCCTATGTTCAGGAACTGCAGCTTTATTTGTATCCCCAGACCCTCAATGTTATTATGCTCTTTTTCTCCTAAGGCAGTAACTGCTTAGTACTTAGTTTTGTGCCTGTAAATGCCTCCACCTACCAAAACTCTCCATGGAGTGCAAGCTCAATCGACTGCACTATGTTTTTAAATGCATGATTTCAGAAAAAAAAAAGGGCAGCTGTTCAGAATATTTCTCGAAAGTGCCTCATTTGTGCTTTATGATAGCCAGTAAGGCAAGGCTGAAAGAAATACTTCATCTGATCAAATATTGTCTGTGTGTAGCAGCAGTACTTGTTCCTCTTCTTTCCAAGTGCTTTGGCTTCATCAATTATGACACTCGARCACTTAGTTGCTCAAAATAAATCATTAAAATGTCCACCATTATTTCAGTATCATGTTGTTCAGGATGCCTATTCTGAAATAATGGGGAAATATATTATCTAATCAAAAGGACAAGCTTATCATTTATGATCCTATTAAAGAAGATGTTATAAAATTCACTGTTGGGTTTAAAAATTGCCAATATTGAGATGATTGATTTCCTTTGATTACATCTGGCACCAAGCAATGCTACACTATAGCCCAAGGAAGCCTAGGGTGGGCTATAATTTAAAAAAAAGACAACAAAAAGAATTCCTGATTGCAAATTTATTACATGGAACAGCAAATTCCAGACAACTGAGTCACATAATAGACAAACAGTGCAATGGGAAGTCTCTTTCCTTTGTGTAAACCAAGTCATCAAGCTGGTAAATCAATCCATGAACTTCATATTCCACGATATTCTGAAACAAATTAACACAGTATCACATTTTATGTTGAGATGTTGGACAGAATATGACTCAGTGCTCCRTTCTCTAAATCTGGTTCTTCTCAAAGTTAGAAATTAAATAGCTTCAAATTCTTATACCAGAAGATTAAGGTATTTGAAAGTTTAGATAAGAGCCHAGATGTGTTATTTGTATTCAAACATGAATCCTTCCTCCTCACYCAGCTCTCTTTCTACCACATTCTAAGCTTGCTGACTTTCTTTTATTAGAAGCATGATGAAGAAAACCATCCCTTTGTCAAAGGTGCGCACTCTAAGTCTCTGAACATGGAAAAAACCACACATTTCTGTCTAGACAGCTCTTAGTGGCCAAATGAAATGTGTGTATATAGGTTTGTGCTTAGTTTGTAATGCTTCTTAGTACCTTCTTTTGTCATGAGAATCATCATTAGTGAAAAGACAAGACATTTTTGGTTGCCTACTTACCACTGCCTTCAATAGTTCTTCCATTTCGAGGCTGAAAAATATAATAATTAGATGATTGTAAGAAGTACTAGATTACAGTCTTATAAGCACACCAAAATACAAACCCATCATGCAGACAGGGACCTCTATAAGACTTGTAGTAAGGTTTTCTTTAAAGCAACGTGTCAAATACCAGGGGATCYAKGCAATATGGGTTATGCYTTYGAATATGAGAAATTTTCATTMAGCCTCYGCCCAWAAAGCTAAACATTCTGGCTTTAATTATTCTCATTCAGAGTTTCAGCCTCAAACAATTGGAGTGGTATAGGCACATACCTAAGAAGGAGCATGTAAGTACCAGCAATGGAAGAACCTGGATGGACACACTTGAAATAACAAATAACTTGAAATTAAACATAAATGACAGCTGAACCAGGACTCTGGTTACCTGACACGACCTACTTTACAGTATTTTTAATTTTTTTAGAATGTGCTGAATATATTTCTAAAAATTAGTTCGGTGTTAATCAGAGTGTGTCTAAATCAGCACCTTGGGCACTAGACAGTGTCATAGTGCAGCAAACAAATGGGTGAAAAATGTGAGAGAAATTATGATAATTTTGCTTTGGCTTCTCACCATTATGCAGTGTGAAGCCTCCTGGCCAGACCTTTCAGACCAAGTGGACACTCAGCTCAGGCACAAGTTTGATCTAATTTATTTAGCATCAGTGCACCTTTACAGTCTCACAGATAGAAGCCACGTGGATGACTTGGCTCAAGATAAAACATTTGCAGAGCCATATCTTCAAACAAAAAGAAGTGTTTAATCCATTACTATCTCAGATCTCATTATCTTGTTGTCTTTTAGTCAAACCAGACCTTTTTATGCAAATGGCTCTCTAAGCTTTCAAGTGATATTTGGCCTCTATTCAAAACAACTGCAGCAAAAATTTGTGAAGGGAAACCGCTTCTCATCTTTGGATATATAACAATGTCTGTGATTCAAAATCTTTAAAATTAAGAGATTCAGATACCCTGAAAAGGAAGAAAGGCCGTCCCAGAGTTCCTTGACTGTCCTGTAAAATCAAACACAAACAATAACAAAATACTTCAAATTCYGTTCCATAGATCTGTTGCCAAATTTTCGTACCGTTCTATCAGAATATTGGTAATTTGGGGCCTTTTTGAGCAGCATGCAAACAACAAGATATTGATAGTCCCCAATGCCCATTCATCTGAAATGCTGATTTAAAATTAATGCCTAAAGGACATTGTCAAGAACTGTCCATTCTGTCTAGTGTAAATAGACTGAATTACCATAATTAAAGGTTCACAGGGTTTAGAAGAGGTCTAAAAGAAAGCTTTACACATAAGCAAGGTCAGCACAGATCACTTTCCAACCACGGAAAAAAACCAAGCTGACTTTAAAAAAGCAGCAAAAGAAACAAGGAAAGGGACATACTTCCCTATCCACTGCTACTGCCACTGCTTGTCTTCACATTTACATACCTTCTTTGTAAACTTTGCAGAAGCAATCTGTGATTCCTGCAAGTGGACACTATAAGTTAATCAAGATGCAGGCATGTTTTGGTTTGTTACAGTGACCCTCTATTACTGATGAGGTTGGTACACCTCCCAAGTGAGAAGAGAGATAACCTTACCCTTATCACAGACAAATGTAAGAACAGCACCAAACTGATCTTTCCGAAGACTGATATGAAGCCTTGCCTGGAATGTTACTCTGTTCAGTACCATCACCGAACAGGCTTCCCTTGCTGTACAGCAAAGCACAGCCATGCTCTGGAGGGAGAAGCAGAGCTCATCCTGGAGCTCCACTCCTCAGGCTTGAATTTAACTGATAGCTCTTATCTTGTTAAAATGTGGCTGCTCTTCACCTTCCAGGCTGCCCTTGGTTTTAACCCAGGAAAGATTGCTGGGTTTAGGCTTTCCCCTGCACTCTTTATTCTTCAGAAAATTGCTCAATTTTCTACTCAGCTTTACTTCTAGGAATAGAAAATTTCCCTGTGACTTCATGTGAGCGGACTAAGCTCAAAATGTAATGCAGCCCTGAACTTGCAGCATGGTTTGGGACCTCTCCTGCCCGTGACACGGCTGCCAGGCTGCACGGTGCCAGCCAGCACTGTCCCAGCCACAGCCACAGCTGTATCAGTGAACGGGTTTAGTTGCCTGGCATGGGCTTGAAAAACAAATACATGTAATGGGCAAGACCAGGTGAAAACACAGGAAAGAATGTGGATGGTAAACTGGAGAGGAGGAATTTTAAAAGACAAAATATACAAGCAAAAAGGAGGAAATCACAGTTCAGGGTATGAGAAGAGGATTTATTTGGTTCAAGCCACATGGTAACAATTTATAGAGCAACTGACATAAATTACTATGAAACACTAGGGCTAGGAAACACTAGGGAAGAAAGAARTGCTCAATCAAGGTGCTTTAAAGGATGCAAAGGAGGAGACTACTACAGAGAGACAGTATGAATACTACCTTTGTTCTGATTATTACATACTGAGCAAAGATAGAGATTGACTCATGACATAGCGTGCAGTTTCAACTATCCTAACAAATTTATAACAGGTGAGAGATTATTATGTGGAAGAAATACGGTGAAAACTGAGCTTCTAAATATCTTTAGGATGGAAATTTCAAATACACAGTGAAGCGATTGTGATACAGCTGGGTTTAGATAGCTCTTTTTGCTTTCTTTGAAAGTACCATCTACAAGGTTTACCCAAAGATTAGACACTGATGTTAAAGTCTTAGTTCTCACAAACTATTTAAATTCCCCAGGTGGAGTTCAAGTCCCATGCAAGCCCAAATTGCCCTGGACTTTGCCTTTCAGGGTRCTGAGGCCTCATTCCTTCTCTTGAAACACCATCTACCTTCTCTATAGAATCTATAACTCTGAATAATTTTTTTTTTGATTCACAGAAATACATGATAATGTAGAAACCTAAGTTCAGCTGACATCACTMGGATTTCATAACTGTTTCATTGGGCTCACTACATACAGATTCATGTTTGTAGTGTCTTCTCAAGATACATTGTGGGCTAAGAAAGTACAAATTCATGTAATATAAGGTTTGATCAGCTGGGCAAAACTTTACATAGTTCTTTTTCCTTATTTCACACATTTATCTGCCACTTTACTCAGACCACACCAAGAAATCATATTGTAGATATGTAGCTGATATTAGTCATATTTTTGAAAGGATATTGTATGAGTTTCAGCTTCCAATCTTGAGGACACATAACTTTTTGCAAAGTTAGTAACTAAAATAGTAACTAGGAATAGGACTCGGTTCAAAGTTACCAGACGATTCTGGTAATCGTCCCTCATTTGCTAAGCCGTGAAGGCATAAGAATCAATAATGAGCTCAAAAACATTTATTAGACATTTAGGACTGAAATGCTACATTTTTTTATACAGTCAGATTCAATACTTTAGAGTTTTATGACTGCTTCAGGAAAGCATGTTCAGAATTATTATWAGCTAAAGGCACTGGTAAGAAGAGATACTGAAATGCATTTAAAAATACTTTCTATTATTGTCTTGAAGGATCTACTCCTGTTTTGAAACAACAGAGGACTCAGCCTCCACAAGTRAATTTGCCTTTTTAGCATATACTCAGAGGCTCAGAGTGAATTGCATGGAAGAAGGTCTTGATGAAGTGATGATAATTAAAAGTGATATAAAGAAGAACTGACATCGARGTGGGTCCTTATATGACTACACCAACAAAAAAAAGACTATAGTCAATGACTCCTCAACTTAGTTTCTTTTATCTGAGTCAGAAACATAAAAAAATCCCAAGATCAGAGTATTAAAATCAGTAAAGCAACTCATACAATTCCATGTTCAGCATGATCTAAGGTATGCAATTGATCCAATGTTATATATATTTTTAGCATATTTCGCTCTGTGTCTGAGGGTCAGGTTGAAGTACTGACTGACGGTAAGTGAATGTTTTGGTTCTTGAGCTCTGAATCGATGAAAAACAGCAATTTCATATAAATAATATAATATAATATAGTTAAGAATTACATGCAAACCACTAACAAGAATATTTTTTTTTTATATTCTCACCTACATCTCTAAAACCATTACACTATTAGATTATACATTATTGTTTGGAGAAAAATGTCAAAAAGTTGGTCGTGGAGTGCTTGCTTTTTAAGTTTAAGACGGGGGTACTTTGAAACAAATGAAGCAATTACACCTTACCTCATTTTTATGCATGCTGTTGAATATGGAATAACAGAGATCCAAAACAGTGCTGGAGATCTGAAAAACAGGAACAATACTTGAATATGTTTTGCTGGGAGAATGTGGTGTAAATGGTTTGATAGAAAGCAGGCTTGATTCTGATCCCAGATCAATTTAGATTGAGCACAGTTCACTAAAAACACTCAGAGCAGGGGAAAATTTACTGATGCTATTATGAGCTGAAAAATTGGCGTTTTGTKTGAGGAGAATACACACAATACAACCATTATCAATATAGTCTTGTGTTATAAAGGGATCTAAATCAGTCTCTTACATTCAAAATACATTTTTCTATGCTAATTGTTCTAAGAATAGCTTTGGGTTTTGACATGCTTAATCTATGCTCATTTTCATCTGCAAGCATTTCAGATGCAGATTAATACTATAATCTTTAATCCTATACTGGATTAAATTAATTAATTTACTTATCTATTTATTAGATAAGTATTAATACTATAATCTTTAATCATATGCTGAAATACACTGTCCCATACTTATTGCCACAGGATAGGGATTTGCTTATCAAATGTGCAATCACATGAGATGAGAAATATAGCTTCAGAAGAAGTAAGGTGTAAGACACCTGAAAAAAAACCAGGTTCTGAAAATGGTTTTATATAAGTTTTGGTTCACAAAACTAAGAYTTCAGAAAGAAAAAATCAGCACAAAATGTTCAAAATTTCCAAATACTTCCTAACCTGGCAAATATTTTTCTCCCCGCTTTGAAAATGACCCTTGGGCTCCATATTAAATGCAGTGGAGCTGATCTTTCACATACTGTTTTTTTTCTTTAAAAGTGTTTGTAAGCTCTAGGCAAGCAAAAATGATCTGTGAAAACTTCCCCTTACTTCYCTCTCCTCTGAGCACCCCAGAGAAAACCCAGGTACCCACCAAGCACCAAGCCAGGACCACACAGAACCTTTAAATCCTGCAGAACTGACCAGCACTTCTTGCTTCAGTGTTAGCTATTACTGGCATGGCAAGAAAGGGGTGAAACAAGTGCTTTTCTTTAGATCTGCATCAGTTCACAAGGAGGAGAGCACATACACCAACCAACTCGCTCTGCTCTCAAGAGCTGCTGGCTCTCTGGCAGAGGCTCTGCCGCCTGCAGATATCCRTGCTCCAGGTTACACAGGACAATTAGAATGTCTGGAAAAGAGAGTCCCAGCACATGAAACACATTACCAAAGTCAATTTACCTGGGGTTGATCAGACATTTCCATCCACTGACTGAAACACAGCGCCAGTTGCTTTAAAAAGTAAAGAATAGACATTAACAGTGTGTCYATCATACCTTCGGACCTGTGTTTTTGCTTGAGAACTTGAGACTGGCTCGTTATTAGCCTGTCTGGCTTTTGCTGGCCCAGGTACCCTATTCTGCACCCAGCTGCACATCCCACCCCTGCCTATACCTGTCCCACCCGCCGCTGCGGACAGCAAAGGGCGCCAGCCTCCCTTCTCTCTTTACCAACCCTATCTGAATAGGTATCGCCAGTCCGTTGCGGTTTTCCTACCTCATTTCCCTGCCACAGACGAGACTCGTTTGCCACCTTCCCCGTCTCTGCCCTACCCTTGCCCCGCGCATCGCTGGCAGACAATGCCAGACGTACCTGGTTTTGGGGCAGCTCCACACCATCCCGGTAGCGCGAGAAAGGCTGCGGGAACCCTGCGGGGACACGGGTGTGTTGGGATGCCGCGGAACGCACCCTGACGGCGCTCGTCCAGAGGAGCCGACCCTTCCCACGGGTTGTCTCGCACTGTCCCCCCTCCCGGTGCCGAGACGTACCTGAGCCCCGCGGGAGGGCGCAGAGGCAGCAGGCGGCCAGGAGCCAGGGCAGGGCGGRCGGCGGCGAGCGCATGGCGAGGCGAGGGTGGGCGAGTGGACGGGAGCCTTTATGGGGCCGCGCCGAGCCCCATATGGAGCCGCCGAGCCAATGGGCGCCGGGGCGGTCCCAAGCACCGCTCCCACTGTCGCTCCCGGTGTCGCTCSCGGTGTCGCTCCCGCTGYCGGACAAGCGCTGCCGCCCCCGCCGCCCCGCGGCTCGGCCAGCCGGGAGCGAAAAACTCCTCCACCCCAGCATTAGGGACCTCGTTCTCCACCMCATAGAACTCTCCGTCAAAGCTGCTTTTCTAGAAGAGGTGAACGAGAGGAAAGAGTGGTGAAAAGAAGATGCAGTGCATGGGCAAGTGGCAGAGCAACAGAAAATTCAGTATTGTAGTAGGCTTGCTGAGTGTTTGGAAAATATTTCTCCGCATGGCAGCTTGCAAAATAAACTTTGCCTTTTAATTAGAGGAGATGTGAACTTTGATTTGAACAAGTCCTGGCCCATTTTGCTACATTTATCTTCACATGAAGTAAGGAAAGCCATCCACCTCTTAATTTATATCTTTGTGGGTATGGCTGTAGAAAAGATACAGATCTGCTCTCAACAGAAAGTGATTATCCTTTCTTCCTCATTTAATCATTGGGTTTGACTATGGAAAAYTCTGCCTGGTTTTCTCTGTGCAATTTCTAAGGCTAATACTTTCTAATTAGATCACAGACTAAGAAAGACAGAATACACCAAAACGCCTCTTGTTTTTTTAGACTTTAGGCCTGCTGAAGCAAATATATAGTCAGTTGTCCAACTTCTAACATAGKGGGGTGGTACTACACTACCTTTAAGATCCCTTCTAACCCTAACTATGCTATGATTCTATGTACTAGACGCGCTTGGGAGGCAGTGGCTCCAGTGTGGGAYGTGAGACATAAAAATCTGCAGAAGGTATTACTGTCACAGCATCCCACCTCATCTCATAATGTCCCTCAATGGCTGTGCTGCACACTAAAAGGATGACGGCAGGACTGCTCCTGATGGGAGCATCTCAGAACAGTCAGGGAGGAGACACACCTGCTTTCTCACAAAGAAAAGGGGAGCCAGACTGCATCGACTTTGTCAGCTACACAGCTGCGTGTCCTGAACATATAGACAGACACAGGAGCAGCCAAGTGACCCCAGCACCATTAGTTCACCCTTTGTTCCTTCCCCTGGGAGCACGGCTGTCTTCGCCTCATCACAGCCTTTTGGGGGCAACAATCGGAGTGGGGAGCTCTTAGGGGAGGTCAGACATTGCTGGAGCAGAGACTCAGCTGTCAGATTCTCACTGTCTTAACTGGAAATGTGAGTTTCAAGCCAGTATAGAATTCAAAGAGATTATTCACTCTGACTGTATAATTTTTATCCTCTGTGGGAGCTAAAGCACATTGCAGCAAGTTTTGTGATGATGGTTTCTCACAGCAAATCCTCCCAGGCTTTCATTAACAGGAAGATGCAGGGTTCCAGGAAGCCCATAGCTCCTTTCTAGAGTGACCCTGCTTTCTACCCAAACTCATGAAATCCTGGAGTGAAAGGACTCTCTGTTTGCTAATTTTTYTCATAAAAGGAGGATGGTGTTTTATTTCTAATAGCAGCAAGCAGAAGGTTTGTGTTTGGTGTAATTTATTTAAGCCGATGCAGTCACAGAAATGTGAAAGCAGAGCCCCACTAGTGTGAACAGGGCTCATCAGAGGGAGAGAGTAAAATGAGAGAAGGTAAAGATACTCTGACACATTACATATTTTCATATTAACTATCTTCTTTCTGTCTTTCAACACTTCAACCAAACTGAAAATTATTGTTCAGTAACAGTGTTTCTCTTGCCACAATTATCACACACAGATCTTGCATCCAAATCATTCCRATGCTGCAGATACACAGGACCTTGGAGAGCCATTATAAATTCACTATTTCCTACTRTTTTTTTAACATTAGCATATGAGATACCAATCCGTTTAAATCCTAATCATTTGTTATCTTTTTTGATGRGAATACTAATAAATTATCACCATGTTGCTAGTGATAGTTCACTGTCATGGGATGTGTTTCTCTRACTTTTCCTATCTGGTGAGAAAGTCTTCTGCGTTCTTCCTCAGGTGACTCATTACCTGCCTAAATTCACACATCTGAGTTTGGGAGTGGGATTTTTTTTTCTAACACCATAGGAAAAGTGGCAAGTGATCGTGTTGGGTAGATAAAATCTACTTCTACCTTACATAAAATACTGGATACTACCTGAACTTTTCCTTCCTCCTTCTCATGCACAGTAAACCATCTSCTGCTTTATTTCACCCTCTACCAGGGAGTACCCTAAATGTACTTTGTGTCTTCTTTCAGCAAATTTTGCCTACAGTGAAGTCTATGGAGCTATTCATTTGCATTCAGTGGGGCTTAATAGTTAAAGATGAAATAAAAATTCAAGCTCCACTAAAAACCATCAGTACAACTTATCTCCTAACTGAAAATAGTATTTTATCCCAGCTGTGCAGTATGAGAGAAGAATGGGAAAAGTGTTGAAAACTAAAATTTCAAATATATGAGGGTGTTATATTATGAACACATTCAGCTTCCTTAAATCAGAACTTTCTTTGCTGCTGGATGTTTCATTTCAAAGGCGTTAGTTAAGGTACAGGTCTGCCAATGGATATATTGACACCAAGCCCATTAATGAGCCACACTTTTACTGCATAAATAAAATTCCTGCTTTAAGGTCATGGACTCTGCATGAAGAGAGAGAAACAGGGTGACTTTCAGTGCCCACAGTGATTCACAAGTGAGTTAAAAATGAAGCTTTGGTGGGGGTTCAATGAGAAACAAGAGGATTTTTTATTGTGAGTAAGGAGGCTTGGCATATATTTAGCAACAGCAATATTATGATACCCATAATTTTAGACTAAAACATGCTATGATTGAAAAATGAATAAGAAGAAAATTTGGCATCAATGGGCAAAAAAAAAGGTGAAGGGCTGTTTTCCTTTCTGTAAATGATTTCTGTAATGAAGTCAGTAGTCATTGCAGACAGCAAGGACAGAGTCTGCAAAATGCCTSCATTGAGCAGCTCCTGAGTGCATCCCAACTGGCTGCTTCTGCTTGTTCATGCCTCTCCCCCTCTACAGCTCAGCAGTACTTYGTACAAAGCCTTATCCTGCACTGAGGGCTTTCAATACTTCACCCATGAGCTGTTTGGAAAGATGAGGAAAGCTGCAGGAAATGGAGACTATTAGGCAAACCTGCCAGAGAGCCTGCAGACATCCCCCACTGCTCATCTTCTATTACATATGACAGTGCCTATTTACACTGAATACAAGGCTGTGTTTGATGTGGTTTTAGTTAACATTCATTTACCTTTCCAGCACAAACAAGTGGTCTAAACAGTGAGAGCTTGTCTCATTTTTTGTTGGGCAGGGCTCCACTCAGCGCTCAGAGCTGTGTGCCTAAACTTTTTTTACCAGACATACCAAACTTTTGTAAAACTGACATCCACTCTAGGTGCTGATTTGATTGTCAGAATGTCAAGTAAGTACAGAATAGTGGCTCTTATGCTTTGGTTTGTAGCTGGGTTGCTATACTTTGCAGCTATAAAGCCATGGCCTCAAAGTTGAGTAGGCCAGCAAGTAAGGGGATCAGTTAAAAGCATGGCCCACAGGGCAGGAGTTAAAAGACATGAATTAACCAAGAGCATCAAAATGGAAGAGAGATGCTAACGGTGAAGTTAGGAAACAAGACCAGGATTCCAAACAATTGCATTCTTTTGGATAGTTTCTTGGGTAATTTCTAGGAGAAATGTGATTTTGTCTGCTACATTCAGTCAGAGAAGTGTAAATTTCTCTGAAATGGAGCAATTTGCMCCCACCAAGTCATGCTACTTGACTGTGGCAATGGACTACAGTGGGATGAAAGTTCAGTATAATTTCTAGATTTTGAGACATTTGAAAAGATCTTCAACCTGGAGCTGTGACTTGGCTTAATTTTATTTGGTTGTCCAACTGGGGCAACCAGTTGGATAAGGAAGCAGTATGCTCTTCTGCTTAGACAACTGGTGGGATAAGTCAATCAATGTCTGCATTTGAGCTTTCATCAAGGATTTGTCCAGAATGATTTATTCTTGGCATTTTAGCCCTGCCAGAAATTTCCAGGTGGTCTCTGAGTCAAATGCTGGAGTAGCTGACACATACTTCACACCACGAGCTGAACAAATTTKATTTTAATAGCTGAATTATAATGCTGACACTCATTCATCCATGCCTCCTAAATCTCAAWGGTTTAATTTGTAGCTGTAATTTTCTTTGAGTATAGCAAATTGAATCACAATTTTGTGTTTATAGATGGATCACCACAGTCTGCAGACACCTTGCACTGATTACTAAAGGATTTAAGTTAACGTGTGTACCATACATCTCAGATTTCTGGCAAATACCCAAATYCTACATCTCCATTACTCTATGAGAAGAAAGTAGCAGAAATKTTTGTCTCACCAAGAGCTGGCTACRGGGAGAACCAACTCCAGACCATTGTTGATACCTGAACAAGTTTACTTGAAGAACACTCACTCTAAACCCACCAGCCAGAGAGAAGAAATCACCAGACTACRATAAACCATTTCAGTGTCATATAACTCACTGACCCTGTGCTGGTGATAYAGCCCATCATCCCCCTGACTTTAACATGATACACATAAAAAACAACCCATTTGGCAAGCTGAGTGCGTAAATAACTGGATTTACATGTCACTTATCACTGAGTGAGGAGCAAAGAGTTTAACTCAAAGCTCTGCCTCCCTTAGCCACATTTATCAGCGCTTAATCCTGTCAGAAATCTGAGTTGAGTGCCATTCAAAATGAGTAAGTACGCAAACACTGTCACTTACAATTATTGCTGAAGTTATCTGTATTTTTCTCCTGAAGTCATTTGACTTGCTTAATATGAAAGCAATTAATTTTTCTCATTCTGTTTCGATTTAATTTTATCTTTACAGAGTATTGCTGGCATTGAAAATGAAGTGATTGCTTMTTTGACACATTAAATGTCATTTGTATTAACTGTTTTATGCCATCTGACTCCTGACTTAAGCTGTAAGATTTAACCTAG